TGTAATATCAAAGAAATTAGATCATTATGGGATGAATTATCCTCCAACACCTCCTATGACTAATCGAATTGGCTCGCGAGCCAATGAACTGAGCCGAGATGAGCTCGAGCTCAAACTTAGTTAATAAATGAGCTTAGGTTTGAGCTAGAGCTAAAGCTTGTGACTTGAAAAGCTTGGCCTATGAGCTCATTAAAAAGCCGAGCTCAAGCCGGCTCGTAAGATGGATCGACTCATTTTAAACCCCAAAACCCAGGGTTGGAGTGAGCAAGTGAAAAAGATAGTTTGGATTAGCTTTCAAGAACCCTGTGAAGCTTTTTGTCTTGAGTAAACTCAATTATAATGGATGGAATCAATTCTGTGCCAAGTCCAAGCTTGCAAGTGGTAGCTTGGTGAACTATCGTTTTGGGAGCTTTAGGAATTGAGGACTGCTCAAGAGAGAGAGGGGGTGGGGGAGCTTTGAGGATAAAGAAGAATGCTATAGAGAGAATCAATCTAAATGAGAGTTGAATTCCTTTTGAAAAACCTTTATCTCCTCTTTCAAAACCAGGAATCGAGTGTATTTGGCTGGGAAGAGGGAGAAGGAGATTGAATTGACAATCACGGCCTCCATTAGATTCCCAATGAGCGACTCAGATCATTTAGGACTAGCAGTGCTATTTGAAGGCTGGGAGGCAGAAGTGAGGCTAGTAGGATTAGCTGGTGTTGACTGATTTTTTATGATTTTTACCTAAATTAAGGTGAGCACCAACCTCTAGTTAAACTCCTTACCCAACTATGGGCTGCTGATCAAGATAAGAGAGAAGGCGTGCCACTGTTGTTTTGCTAGTGGTCTTAGGATGATTGGGTTGAGTATAGGAGCTCGAGTTGGCAAGTTTAGGAGAGCTCAGAGAGTTGGATTTGGTTGAATGGGTCTCCCAATAAAATCTCAATCCACTTGGATGAGCTTAAAGAGTTGCACCAGTCCCCAACAAGCTTTTGCCTAAGCTCAAATGAGCTTGAATTTTTTTGGTTTTGTATTAAGTTTAGTTTAGTTTTGGGGTTAAGTTAGTTTTGATTTTGTTTTGTTTAAATTAGGTTCAATTTTGGTCTTGATTTAGGTTTTGAGTAGGACATATTAGTTTTAGGTTTGATCTTAAGCTAGGTTCAAATTAGACTTCAGGCATAAGTTGGATTGGTTTTCCTTTTAGATTTAAATTAAGTTTAAATATAATTAAATTAAATTGTGTTTGGATTAAGGTAGCTTAAGTTAGTTTCATGTTCTTTGCTTTAGAAAGATTAGAGTAGGTTGGAAATAGGTTTAACCTAGTGTAAATTTTATTTTAAGTTGAGAGTGAGGTTTAATTAGGTTTATAATGTTTAAATTTGTATTTTAGATTTCAATTGAGTTTAATTGAACTTTAATTTGACAGCATTTTTATTTATTGTTTATTTCAATTAAGTTTAGGCTATACTAAGTTGGTGGTTTCATTATGTTTAAGCTAAAATAGTTTTAGATTTAATTTGGTTTTAATGAAATTAGAATTATATTAAGTTGAGTTAGATTAGATTCAGCTTAACCTTAATTAGAGTTAATTGTCATGCTTTAGGTTTAGATGAATTGATTTTAATTTACTATTCAAATCAAATTAGATTTTGTTTTAAAGCTAGATTAAGTTAAAACGATGTTTGGGTTTAATTTAGCTTAGGCATAGTTTCACCATGATCATTAGGTTACATTACATTTCTCCTAGGTTTAAATTAAATTATTTTAGATTTAAGGTAGCTTAAATTTAATTTATATAAGGAAAAACAATTTTAATTTAAGCAAAGCAAATCCTACAAGCCAATCATACATTAAGCCAAACCAAACCCAACATGAGCTTGGGTTCCCCCAAGTTTCAAAGTGTACTTGCCAATAAACTCCTAATTGTATATTGTGTTAGGTTCCTGTGGAGATTCTTTGGGGCTGCTGCAGGACAAGGGCTAAGCCAGCAAAAACAGGACCAACTAGCAACCGAGATGCATTAGAATAAAAAATAATCATATGAAGGAAAGGCTAAAAGGGCCAGACAGGATATGATTCGACAAAAATGAGCTCAATATGTTAAGAGAATACAAAGGAAATTTCTATTTGTTATAGCAAGCCATGGCCTTATTGAATCTAGCCAAATATGCTGCTTGAAAACTTCACTAAATGAATCATGGCTGTGAAAGGATCATGTTGCTACATATGCGGCAGCTATGAGTAAGCTTGTCTGCTTTTTCCTTTTTTTTTGTGAAAATATTTATAATACTGCACCATTAAGAAAATAGTTTCAACACTAAGGCCCCAACAGGGGTTGTTCTGCTTCTTGAATAACTTCACATTTCTTTGAAAATTGATCCAACTCTATTTAAGCAAAAGAGAAGCGCTCTATGAATAAGGCCCCAAGAAATGATAGTTTATTGACAAAATTTTTGTACATTTATCTAAAAAACTTATGGTAAAACTTCCGCAAGTTATCTGAGGTAATTTCTATTTGAAGAAGAGAATATGAGCTTACCAATGATTTGGCAGATGCCCAAAGATAAGTAATTCCATTTCATGAGGACCAGGCATCCATGTAAGGGCATGAATTTTAGTTCAAATGATGTGATTCAAGCAGGTGATTTGAAGTCATTCACACATCCAAGAAGGTTGTAACCTTAACCATCATGAGTAATTATTTGGTATAGATATAATGTGATTTATTGCACTTTATCCTTTTAAAAATGAAAATATATTTCCTTGATAAATGACATGATTGAATCTAAAATTCCCAAAATAAATCTTTAACAATATAAATAGTAAAATAAATAAATAAATAAATAATACATCCCTAAAAAACTACACCAAAATTTTATGAATACAGCTAAAGCCATAAACAAGGAAAAGTTCTAGGAAACCAAGCCATCTGAAAGTATTCAATCTACAATCCATATTCACATTCAGAAAGATTCAATGAGCTGAATTCAAAATCTCTTTTAAAAAAATAACCGTTACCAAAGTGCGTGAATATTCAGCTCAGATTGTTGTGGAAACAACACAAAGCATGCTGTACAGGAAAATGAATCGCTCAAGGTATAAATAAACTGCTGGCCTGACCATCCTCTCATAACAAACTTCCATAAACCAAACACAAAGTTAAGTGTGCAAAAACACCCACCCTCCTGGCATAGTAATTACCTGGAAATTTAAATAGGGGAAAGTCAGCATTCTTTTTTTTAAGGAATAGTTTAAATGCGTACATATAAAGAATAGAAAAATAAAAATTACCAAAATGCACTTTCAAACACAAAATGGAGACGCAGTTTTCAACATGGGTGCCATTCTAATCAACTATCCTTGTATTTGAATGATGCAGTTCTAAAAAATAACATTGTTCAATCACAACCATTTGATTGAATTTCCCGAATACTTATCAGGGCTAACATGACCACCTATTATCTAGTCTATTGTAGATTCTAAGCCACTTGATTTCACAAGATTAACGAAGCCTAACCCAGCAAAATGTTCACATTGGGCTAATCCAGAGAAGGAAAAGGCCCGGAATGCTTGATGGAGCTTGACCAGCTGTGGCCGCCACTGATGCAAGGTATCGCCCAGGCCATGCTGCTTCAAGGTGGTAGTTGTGCTTTTTTTTTTAAAGAAAAAAATTAGAAAAAAAATGAAGTATCTCTTTTCCATTTCCCCCAACAAAAAAAATCTCCTCCCAAAGGGATGACTTGAATTTTGGACATTTTTTCTCCAAATAAAAGAGACTGAAAACCATCTTTATAAGGCCATGGCTGCGAACAAATGCTATTATATGTATCCGATATTAAAGTATGAATCTCAACGCATCTTGAGATTAAAAACTTTTCAAAAATCATCCCTAATTCTTTTCACAGGCATGTAGCCAAACTGAATGTTATTACAAGACGAATCTTATGAAGCCGAAAATGAACTAATCTAAACTCTAAATTAGCCCAAACCAAGCGCTGATCTTAACAGGAATTTTGGGACCTTTTGGAGAATCAAATGGTCTCTAAATCTTGCAAGCTTATAGTTAAATGAGTGTCTCAAAGAGACAAATCCAACTAGCTTAAAATCGCTTAATTCCGATATCATTAAGACATCAAACTCCCAAAAAATAACATATGATCAAGGGGATCACTTTCAGCCATCTGATGGAGTATTATAAATGTTGGAATTTACTTTAGAAATCACTACCAAAATCGATAAATAGACACCCAATCTTTACATAAAACAAGGCATGATGAGTTAAACGCTAGAGTTATGGGACCTTTATTGGAGAATCAAATGGTCTCTAAATCTTGCAAGCTTAAAGTTAAATGAGGGCATCAACAAGACAAATCCAACTAGCCCAAAATCGCTTAATTATGATATCATTAAGCCATCTAACTCCCAAAAAATATTATAGATGTCGGAATTAACTCGAGAAATCACTACCAAAATCAATAAACACCTATTCTTTACACAAAAACAAGAGGCCTGTAGATTTAAAGGCTAGAGTTAGAATGAAGGTGGGCGACGCGAAGATTAGGGGATCCTTGATTGCTGCTCAACTATTGCCATCTATCCACCAACACGAAAAGCCGCTGCTCATCCAACATTGTCGGGCCACAGTTGCTCGTCCAACATCGTCGATTGCAAGATGCCATCACCTAAGCACTGCCGCTCAACCGCTATTGTTCGTTGTCGCTGCCCAAGTGCCGTCATCAAGCTATTTTCGCCAAACAACCACCATTAGACTGCACCCGTTCGAAGACAGTGTACAGTTGTGATCAGTACACCATCATTTCATCACCATTCAACATTTGTCATCAAGTTGCCATCACCTATCGACTAATGTCAAGTCATGACCTTTAGTCAAACATCATCGGACCACTGCTATCCAACTGACTTTGTCTAGCCTCCACTGCCCATCCACTAACATCACATTGCCACCTCCCGCCCATCGCCATTGGAATGCTTCCAATACACTACAGTCGCTAATGCACCTACATCAAATCATCAAAAACTATTATCGTCGAGTCAATGCTTCCTAGCCACCGCCATTAAATCATTATTGCCAATCAACCACACTGGGAACATTACTACTGCCTTCATTGAGTGACCAACATCGTCAAACTACAATTGCTAGTCCAACTTCGTCAAACAATCATCTAACCGCCACAGTTAAAATTTCACCTCCAAACTATTGTCCATCTCCCATCCACTACAATCAAGCCATCATCTCCATCCAGCCGCCACCTTTGAAATGCAGTCGTTGGTGCACTTCCATCAAACCATCATCCAAACACTACCATCAAAACAAAGTCTATCACCATTGGACCACCATCGTCCAACTAGTGCTATCAAATTTCCACTACAAGTCCATCGTACTTGGGCCTTTGCCACTCGTCCACAACTATTAAACCCATTGCTTTGTCCACCATCATTGGACTATCCTCACATCATACAGCCGCCTACACAACCACTATTTTCAAACTACCATTACTCAACAATCCCCGAATGACCACTATTGTTAGACTACCACTACATCAATCTACCAGCATTCTGAGATCACCAGTGCTTAACTACTGCGTCGATTCACGCTCAAAGCCTGAATACAATTTAGGAAAATTTGTCGATGCCAATGAAAATCGTCGCTTTTTAGGTTAATGCAATCCAATGACACTTGCCATTCTTTAAGGCTGAAGCAAGACATTGGCCACACCAAATGTCTATAGACTGAAGCCTATCATTGTATCAAGTTGATTGTAAGCCTGATGACCGTCAATAATGCACATGATCTCCTATGAGATTGATGCATGTCATCAACACAACTAATCAGTCTCTTGATTCATCTCCTAAACCAAAAAATGACCAAAATATCGCAAACAATCATGAAAAGACACTCCAATCACTCCAAGATCCTCCAACATCCATCATGGAATACATTCAACATGATCCATATCTACAACAATGAATCAACATCTCCCCAAAGTACAGGAAAGTGCTTCGCTTATAACTTAAAACATATTTTAATGAAATTATCTCAATTGGGTGACCTGTAATAAAGAATAAAAGAGGTAATCAATTTTGGTATTGAGCATTTCTTCATCATTTCAACTGTTATTCATTCTAGATATCTATTTGGCCGAATTTTGCGATGAAAATTATGCTTAATATGTCTTCTAGAACGCTCTTTGATGCACAAAACCATGAATTTGAATTTTGGGAGATTTTGTCTTCTAAGATTTTTACGTCTAAATTACAGCATTCTTAATTGAAGTTTCGAAAATCGGATCAACCATTAAACCAGAAAGAGAGGAAACTCAAAGTTCAAATGTTCAACTGAGATTGATCTGAATGACACAACAAGTATAAAAATAATTTAATATGAATTAAATAATGTAATAATGTTAGTTCAATTCAGGACATGCTACTCATAAATATTTTGAATATAAATTTGAATTAACATTTTGGAAACTTGACATTTTAATTATTTCTCTATTTTTAACATAAATCTTTTATTTCTAACAATCTGATTAAAATAAAAAAACAAAATTAGAACTAAGGACCTTTTAAAAGAATCTGACCGGTTCACCCATCATAAATCCAACTAACAGTTCTAGTCAATTTTAGTTGAATGAGGTTTTAAACGTTGGACAGAAGAGGCTGAAGAACCGATACACGATTGAACTAGTTAAACTGGATGCTCTGGTTCAATTTTTAAAATTATGTTCTTTACATAATTTTTCAGGGCTAGATTTAAAATATTTTTTAGTGTACTGGGGACACTTGCGACTTCTAGAAACTTAATATCACAATCCCATTAATTATTTAGAGAAAAATTTCTCTCAAATCTTGTTAGCTTTACCAAAATAGCCACTTCTTGTGGGAAACCACCAAGTACATATGTAGAAATATTATAGTAACAAAAAATATTCATGGCTTCTCACATACTATATTTTCCCCAAAAAAACTGAGTGGATAATGATCAAGATTTATTGCACTGTATCACTATCAAAGAAATGTTAAAGAAAATTTCATTCGATGCCTAAGGGCCAAATGATTGAGTTGTAGTGTGTTTGGTACAATAAAAAAAAACATATTTTTTATTAAATAGCCCTATAGGATTTTTGCCCTTCAACCCTTCTTAATTGTTTCAATTCCATAATAAAAATTAACATAACTTTCTCCAACCCGCACAAAAGCCTCAGAGCAAAAGGGAAAAACGGGCTTCGATTCAAAAGAAATGTTCTCACACTACCAAACAACCCATAAGTTCTTCAAATGCCTTCAAGAATGATATGCAATGAAGCACTCACAATTCTTAAATGCCATGCATCCTCATCGACCAAAGACAACACCCCAACACATGTAAAACACTTTCAAAATTGTGTTTGGATTTGACGCAAGCAATAGAAGGCCAAAAAACAGACATGCGAAGACTTGAGAAGACAAGTGCATGGAATAGAAAAAATTGTGTAAGAGACCAAGGCCAAATTAGTGAAATAGCATGTCAAAGACTCCTAATATGTGGTCCATCAGTCACTTTGCATCTTTCATGACTGTGACATATTGAACAGATCTCAACCTCAACAATGCCATCAAAGGAGACAGAAAGTAAGGCCGTCAAACCCCTTATTTTCTTCAATCATCATCTAATATCTCAAATATTCTCAACCAATCAAGAGAACGACCCAGCCAACTAGCACTATTGCAAACATCTAGTATTTCCTTTGACTACCACCAATGATCAATGCCTCACAATTGTCAACCATGTATGATGCCCATCTTCTCAAACTCCCAATCTCTCCTCTATCAAGAGAATGACCTAGCAAATAGACTATTAATGGCCAACATGTGACATTCATGTGATATATGCCAATGGCTAACATCTAACATATATCAACCATTATGTCAGATACCTATCTTCTTGATCAATCCTCCCATGAAAAGAACAACCAAGTTGACCGCCCATCATCACAAATTATAACATTACCCATCAACCACCAACACCAAAATCTTGCCAACAATGTATGATGTTTATGAACCATAGGTCCATGGACATACGGAACTCACACCCTACATAGCTTAATTTCCCCACTTATAAGCAGAAACACCAAGTAAACAGTATACCATCTCTCAACTTTCAATTTTACCTGCCAAATGAAATCTAACACTCACTACTT